CCAGCTTTGACATCTGACCTTCACATGCACATTCAAGCATGTGCCTCACACACACAACACACACACGTGCACGCGTGCATACACACAGAAGTGATGTAGTCATCACACAGATACACGCACACTGCAAAAACCCAGCACAAGCACACACAGCCTGTGCAGGACACACCCAGACACACACCGAGCACAGTGCAGGCTCGAACACGACACGCAGAATGCAAACTGTGGCTCACATCTTATACACGGCTACATATGCCCCCAAACTCCCCAGAGACAGGGAGAAAAGCCTCCTGTCTGTGTGTATAGAAACACACATGCTCTGACCCAAAACAGCCACCCTTGTGCACAGACTCCACACTCTTATGACCTGGGCTGCCATCTTCAGGGCCCACGAGCAAATTTTCTCAGGGTCAGAGCACACATGGGCCAAGTACCTTTTACTAGGGCTGTTTCCTGGGCCACAAAGGGAACGGAGGGGAAAGGACATAGTTTGGTGTCAGTCAGACTACAGCCAGCTTGGGGATTATGTGATAAATCCAGACAGGTCCAAGGAGGCTGGGATGAGTCCGTGCATTCTTGTCCTTCCCTCCAAAGCTGTCCTTTCCAGATCCGGAAGCTTGAAAATGGTTACTGGGCCTTCAGGACGCCTGCTCTCTGGCCTCTTCCCGGCTGGGCGACTCCTGCCTGCTGGCTATCCCACTCTGTGGGTCAAGCAGGCAGGACATCGAGGTATGAGGTATGAGCTCCATTTCTCAGAACAGACTTGGTCCCATCCACATGGGTCTCACAGGTCTGTCCGGCCTTGGTGTTCTGGCTGGGCTGCTTGCTGGCAGACATGGACCCTGAGAAAAGAACACTCTTGACAGTTGTTCTCCCTGTGTATTTTTCCACCAGCAGGCACAGAGCCTGAATTCCCAGCCAGACCTACAGCTGACTGCTCTCCTGTCTCCCTGCTCCCCACTGCTGCCGCCAGCTCCTCAGCCTACCAAGCTCATCCAAAACCTTCAGGCCAGTGACACCATGGAAGGACTCTGTCCCAGTTCTCTCAGCCACTGCTCTGCGTCCTTCCCTATGTCTGTCCTTTCTTACCCCAATCTTCCCCCCTGAACCTGGAACCTCTCCTGTGTTCCCACCCTTTCTCCAGGACAGCTTCCTAGCCTAAGGGCCCCTTTCGTGTTCCTGTGTCCCTGTGGCAGCCATGGGCCAAGCCGCTCCCTAGTTTGAAGACCTATGATGGCACTTGCCATTTTTTTTCTGTCTCAGACTGCTCACACCATCTTGCAAATCACATAACCACACATGTCCTTCTCTGTCCCCCCTCCTTCCTGCTCTCTCTAGCCTACCTTGTTATCTTTACCAAAAGCCTTTTCCAGCCACCCCCTCCTCCTCTCCAGCTCGTCCTCTCTGCTTCCCTCCTCCCCACCTCCTCTCTCTCTCATGGAAAATTCCAGAGGCAAGGGCTGAAGGAACTTCCTAGTGGGGCTCCATGCTGGCTGTGCAAAAGTGGCCCAAAGGGTGCCTTGTGTCGGAATTCCTCGGGCTCAGGACCCAGGAGAGGACCACTGTGGGAGGCATGGGAGAGATGCTGAGGGGAGGGGAATGTCCCTACCACTCATTACTCTGAGGTTGCCAGGGTGGTGCTGGAGGCAGCTTTGGAGTTGAGGCTCAGTTCTGCCATAGGCTGGCGGGGCAACCTTGACCCCAGCCTAGACCTTCAATCAGCTACCCTACTTACCCCACGGGACCATGAAGAGGATGGAGTCCCAGTTACCCCATCGGTGTTAGTTCCTTGTGTGTGTGACATGAAAGATGCCCCTTTGGCCATCCATGAGAACCCTCACAGTGTGCCCAGAATGCCAAGGCTTTAAGAAACCCAGGCCTTCGGGCCGGGGGAATGGCCAAGTAAGGAGAGTGCTTGCTATGCCATCACAAAGACCTGAGTTCTGACTCCCAGTGTCTTCCCCCAAAAGGTGGACATGGTGGCACAAGCCCCTAATCCTAGCAATGGGAGCCTGAGACTGGAGCTCACTGGCCAGCTCAGTACACTCTGGGTGCAGGGAGCCACCCTGTCTCAAACACGAAGGGGAAGAGTCATCCAGGGTGACATTCAGCATCAACCTCTGGCTCCACTTGCAAGCACCCCCACCTGTACCCACATGTATACACACACACACACACACACACACACACACACACACACACACACACGCACACAAAGTCCTGGCACTCCTCAAGGTGAGGTCTATAGATCTGGGGCCCAGAAGGAAGGTCCAAGCCATGAGTGTGTGTGTATGTCCTGGGAGGGGACTGCCACTGAGTGCCTTGCTGCCTGTGAATGGGGCAATCTGACCTGCCTCCCAGGAGCGGGTACAATAAGTCATGTGAGCCAGGGAACGTGCTCAACGAGCACTACCTACTTGTCACTCGGTACAAAGCGAGGCTAAGGAAAGGCCAGTGGGCCCTTTGACACCTGCCTTCTGGGTGGTAACGGCACATTGAGACCTGCAATCTCTCACTGCCCTTCAGTGGTCAGGTGGGGTCCTCGGGCGAGTTGCTGCAGCGGAGGGAGCACAGGGTTGCCTTTCCCCCTCCAGCGGGACGGCCAAGCCCGTAGCTGAGAAAGCTGCCTGGTTCTGGAATGCCTTGCCTGCCCCCTGGTGGATGTCTTAAGACCCATCTCTCTGACACTGGAGTCTTGAACAGGATGTGTGCCCAGTTCCAAAGGCTCTGTAGAGGAGAGCCACGGTCTTTGAGACAGCTTCCTGGGAGCATACTGGGGACCAGAGCCCCTTTACCACTGTCATTGCCTCAGGAGGCAGGGGTCAGGGAAGGGAGAGGGCATGCTACCCATCCCTGAGCGTCTCCATCTCCTGGTCCATAGATAGGCAAACAGCTCCTCCAAGGGTGGTGGCAGTGGTAGAGCTAAAGACAGCCATGCCCTGCAGCAGGCAGCATGGGGGAGGCATAACCCACTCTCTAATTCTTAATGACGGAAGGGCAGGGCAGGGGAACCCCCTCAGAGGGACCAACTCAGATAACTACCTTTGCTCAGTGGGCCACCTTTGGAGCCTGAGTCACCCAAGGCTCCAAGTTTCCCCAAAGGGTTCTGGGCAGAAGCCTGAGAATAGTGGCCTGGGCCAGGAGTGGGGACATCTCCTTGGTGACCAGCTGGGTGGCTGCTCTCCTATACAGCTCAAGTACAAAGCCCACAGGCGAAGCCAGCTATACCAGCCATGACAGAGGCATGTCCAGACGTGTTATAGGACATACAAATATGAGCTGCACGGTGCCCTCAGAAGGGCCCACACAGACACTCAGATGAGTGACACACATACTGAAGCCAGGTTCACAGATTGCCAGGCTCACATGTACACTCATCCACGCACACAGAAACACACGACAACACACGTGCCCAGACACAGAGGCTGGCAGCAGTGCTTGCACAACACAGGGACAGCTGTGTTCAAAGACACAGGCTCACTGCTAGGGGCCCTTTGAGCTCCGCTGTCTCCGTGGACACATGGGCTCGCTCACATACATGTGTACACCGTAAGCCCCATCTGCCCCACACCCCCCGTTTGTGCATCTTCACCTCCTCCTCCCTCTGATCACACACGAGCCCACAAGGTAGTAAAGCAGCTCTCTGGTCTCTATAGTGCGGTGGGGACTGAGGGTCAGCGATCTGAGGCCACACAGCTCTCAGAGGGAATGCTGAAGCCTAGGTGAAGGCTGGTTTCCTTAGGTTTGTCCACTCGAATCTCTGTGTCCCTCTGTGTGCCCCAGGATACTCACAGCATTCACACACCCAAGCATCCAGAGGGCCTCACTGACTGACCAATCACTCATGTCTCAGATGGAGACTCGGATGAAGGCTTCAGCTAAGAGCCGCAGGCCTAACGCAAGCCAGGCTGACCACAGAGAAAAGAGGTTTCTCCCGGCTATATTGCACAAGTCATGGTCATGTGCCAACAGCACACAGCAGGACTCTCCCTCTCAACAGCTGTAGCAGGACTGTGTGGCATAATGTTTCCACAGGCTTAAAAAGATTACAAGATTTGCATAACCCGCAAAGTTCCGCAGATAGGAAAGGACGGGTGGAGGGACTCTGGACATCATGACCCTGGACAGCTTTTCCCAGAACCCCCAGGTTGAAGGCTTACTGCCAGATTCCCCTCCTGGAGGGCCCCAGCCATCAGGGGGGAAATGAATTACACGTGTGCCTGATCTTGCTGGCTTTCAAATCACCTGCAGGGATTTGGGGAGCATTCTTTGATGTGCCGCAATTGAACGAGTGGAGCTTCTTTCCCCTTTCTTCTTCTGAATGATAGAACTCTCATTTTGCTGACAGCCAAGAAATTCTCCACCCCTCCTTGCCCCATCCTGAGACTCTGAGAGCTCACACAGACTCCCAGCACAGTGCTCCCAGATGCTGAAGTTGTGGACTGGTTCTGGGGAGGCAGGGGAGTAAGCAGGGATGGTGCTTCCTGTGGGCCCAAGGGTATACTCTAGGCACTGAGAGTCCTCTCAATGTTCTTAGGGAGGATAACAGAGGTTCCGAGAAGCACTGTGATGGGAGATCAGGACAGGGAACACACACACACACACACACACACACACACACGCACACACACATGCACATAAACACGGGGTGGGGACACTGGCTCTGCCTAAGGGGCCCTCTGTCCAGCTTTTGCTTTTGCCCAGAAGAGCTCTGCCCCTTGGAGCTAACACCCTCCTCACCCTGGCCTTGGGCCCTCAGCCATGTGCTGGGCACAGGGTCCTCTCTAAGGAAGCAGGGGCTTGGAAACAGTGGGCTCTCTGCATCAAAGTGGCTGGGGAGAGGGGAATTTCTATTTTTATTGCTTTCCTGGCAGGAGGCAAAGACACCAGCTCCTCACGTCACTCATGGTGGTAAACCACCAGAAAGCTGATTAGGCATTCCTAGCAGGGCAGGGGTGGTGGGGGCATCTTGGCTGCCTTGGACCCTGCCCACCGACTTCCTATCAGGGACCTGGCGCAGCCTCCTGTGGCCTCCTGGGCTCAGTCAGACCCTGGCGCGCTTTGGCAAAGCCGGTCCGGATTTCTTGGTTTATGCGGTCCTGCCATGGGTCTCTGGAGAGAAAGGGAAGACGAGGGTCATATATAACTGTCGGAATGACAGTGGTAGGTGGCCGGGGCTATTTAAAGGTGCCAGGCATGCCTTCTACTCTTGTGTCCGCTGATACCCAGCAGCCTGACACACTGGGCACACCCAGCACACCAGGCACACCAGACACACCAAGTACACTGGCCGCACCGGCCACACTAGGCACCCCGGGCACAGTGGCCACACTGGGCACATAGACTTTATCTTTCCCACCTTTGTACTGTAGGAGCCCAAAGCTCAGACATGTGATGACTTCTCCATGACCATACAATGACTGGTCGTCTGCCTGTGTGGCCATCCCCCTGTGCCCTACTCGAACTATGACTCGGGGAGCACTAGGGCAAAGGGTCCCCTGGACATCCCCCAAACACGTTTACTTTTTCATGCTCTGCCCACGATGCCTGGAGCTGGTCACGACGGGCATTGCTTTGAGCCAGAGAGTGAAGCAGGTATCTGAGGGACAGCCAAGACTTCCTAGACTTCCACGGGAGACGTTTGTTGACACTGGGGTAAACCCCACTGCTTCGCACTCGTTAGGCAACCATTCTGTCACTAAGCCACACTCCCAGTCTCAGGGACGTTTTTCAGGCTGGTCGGCCAGGGCGGAGGGAAGAGAAAGAGAGCTTTGTAGGGTGTCTCCTGAGGTGCAATGGGGTGGGGCTCTCTGAGTGCTGCTGCTGGGTTGGTGTGATCGGGGTAGGGCTTCTGTCTCTGACCTCTGCCTCACTATTGACAGAAACAGTCTGGGTAAATAGATGAGCGTGTGCACGTGTGTGTGTGTGTGTGTGTGTGTGTGTGTGTGTGTGTGTGTGTGTGCTTGTGTGTGTGCCTGTGTGTGTGTCTGAGTGCAGACCCTTGTTAGGTCACACTCAGGCCCTGAACACAGACCCTCCACTGCCTGCCTGAGGCTCTGAGTCAGGTGATGCTTTTTGCAGCTAATTGCCAGTTTCCTCCCTCCCTGACCCAGAAGATGAAAATGTTTCTGGCACTTTCTAAAGTTTCTGCCTAAGAATGAAAAAGTCATCAGCTGAGAGCTTGAGCTGATAAATAGCAGCCAAACCTGCAGGTCCCCAACCCCGAGAGAAGTAGCCAGGGGCCGAAAGGACTTCCCTGAAGGGTGGACAGGGACAGAGCCTGGCTGGGGACAGGGCAGGAGGGGGCTGGGGCTTCATCAGGGCATGACCAGATCAGATGGAAGGAGGGAGCGTGTGAGCTGACATCTGAATTTCAAGAAGGGGCAGGGGCACCCAAAATTGCAACTGGGAGAGTGGAGCTCGGTAAAGGAACACAGTCCTAGTCCAGTCCCAGATGAAAACACTTAATGACTTAAAAAATCAAAAGGGCAGGGCCTCTTAAGTCATAGCAACAGGAAGAGTAGAGGCCCTGGGGTATCGAGACTTGAGGTTTGCTGCAGAGGACAGCCCAGACGCCCAAGAGCAGGAGTCCAGATGCAGAAAGCAGCAGAGCGAGTCCTGGCTGGGCCAGGAGCTCAGAGCAACCAGTTAGAACAGTGGATCTCAGGCTCCCTAACACTGCGACCCTTTAACGCAGCTCCTCATGTTGTGGTGACCCCAACCACAAAATTATTCCATTGCTACCTCATAACTGTAATTTTTGCTGGGTTATGAATCGTGATGTATGCAGGATAGCTGATATGAGACTCCTAAAGGGGGACAAGACCCACAGTTGAGAACCGCTGTGTTAGAGGCTCTGGTGAAGGGACAGTTTTGGCCCAATGCTGGGTCATCTGGGAGGGGCCCGCTGCATTCCCAGCCCAACTTCCCCTGGGGGACTAAGCCCCTTGGCCATCATGGTCCCAAGGACCTTCTGTCCTTTGAAAACACCTGTGCCTGCTGCCTTTGCCTGTGCAGGCTGCTCCTGGGGACAGGGGAGCAGGGAACAGCCTGATGGAGGAACCCACTATTGTTCCACATGGCCCCCAGTGAAGGACATGGTACCCCCAAGGATGGAGGGCGGAAAGCATGCTGTTAGAGGCACAGGCTCTAAAGGTCTTTCTCATGCTGCCTTTTGGTGTCTTTTTAATGTAAAAGTCCCGTGTGGAAGAGGCCGACAAGGTCAGCTCAGACTAGAAAGACCCTCAGCGCTGGGTGTGCTTGGCATGCCCTAGTGTTGTGTCCCTGCAGACGGTCCATTTATACAGCCTTTGTGTGGACACAGAAAATTCATGCAGGCTAGCTGAGCATCCTGGGGCCTCCCAAGTGCACCCCAAATGGCCTGGCTCAGCCAGGGTGTAGAGCAGATACAGCTGCCACTCAGCTATGCACAGACAGTACTTAGCATCAGCCAATTATGTATGTCCCAGGCCTTGCCAGTAGCCAGGCCTTTAACAATCTAATATAATGGATCATCCCTAATGGGGAAGTGCCCTGGCTTTGGGTAATCCCTTCTTACTCACCCAGGCTTGATAGACAGGGGTGTAGGGAGGGGTCTGCAGAATCCCACCTTCCCTGTCAGCCAGTAGGTCTCCTCCAAGCCCTTCCCCTGAAACAAAACAGGAAGCGGTGAGAGGCCCAGGGCCCGAGGCAAAGAGAAGCCTGGCTCTGCATGTTGACAGCTGTGTGACTTTGGCCAACTTGCTTCACCTCTCTGTGCTTCCTGCTATCTCCTAAAGCTGCTGTGAGGATTACATAATGCAATAAAGACCAGCTAAAGAGATGAAGGCAGGCCTGGAATGCTAAAACCTGAGGCACGCACCATGTAGAATTCCTCTGGAAGACTCCAGAGCCTCCGCTGGAATTAGGTGGGGAGGAGCTGTAGGACACTGAGGTCCTAGGCTAGCCCACCCCTCAGAATTGACCCCTCTGTCGACCCAGTGTTTCTCAGGACACACCTATGCTCACGCCCCAAGTCAGATACTCCTGCCCTGGCTTATCCCATCCACCCTCTGCCCCAGCCTGCTCCAGCCCTGTCCTGCTCAGAGTGTCACAGGCAGACACTGGTCCTGAGAGCTGGAGGCACTCAAGTGAGTGCCTCCTGCACTATCCTCCTGCTGTGGTGTCATCCCACGGTGTCCTGAGGTGAATCAGAAAGCATGCTGATTCTGAGGTCCAGTCACAGCCCTGGGGGCCTTCAAGCTATACCTGTGCCTAGCAGAGGAACTGGGGGAGGAGGATGGGACAAGGTGAGGGAGAAGTCACTGCCTTCATCAAGCATTGCATAAAAAAGAAGAGGAGAAGAAGGGGGAGGAATAGGGGGAAAGGCAGAGGAGGAGGAGGAGGAGGAGGAGGAAGCCACTGTTCAAGGTTTTTTTCTGTCTCAAAGGAGCTCGTGGAAAGTTCAGCCCAGGATTACACTGTGGCTGTGGAAAGCCACTCATGGGTGCACGGTGAAGTTATGCAGCTACTATTTGGAGAAAGTGGGGATGTTCTTGGGTCGGGGTAGGCTTTGGTGAGAGCTGATGTCTGAACTTGGTTCTGAGGGATGCGCAGGAGCCCCAGAGTGTCATAGAAAAGGCATAAACTTGGAGCCATCATCGGCTAAAGTCAGGAGCTAGCCCTGGCCTTTCTAATTGAATTTCTCAGCTATGTAACACGAGGAGAATTTGTTCTTTTCACAACTCTGAGGGTTGTATGTGTTGTGTGTGCTGAGTCCCAGGGGGCTGCTCAGGCAGACTGTTAGTGGCCACACTTCTCTGCCCTGCCCTGACTCTAGAAGAGAACCAAATGGCTCCCAGGAAGTTTTTCTTGGTTCTAAAATGAGGGACATAGGGGATCATGTTTGTGCCCTGCTCACACACACTGGCCAGCTGAGACCTTCTGCTGCTGCCCAGAATCCAGCCCCACAGCAGTCTCTCACCTTCAGTTCAGTCTGGCCTCTGACATCAATTTTGTAGCCTTCATCAAGGCTGAGCAGGGCCTGGACGGTGCTTCGGCTAACGTGGATTCTGTACGCTGAGAAGAAAGGCGGCCGTCACGCCGCTACCTGGTGGCAGGCAGCCTACTTCACTAAGAGGGGCAGTCAGTTACAGAACACAATCACGAATATGATTCCCTCTCCTAACCCTCTCGTTCCCCTAGACGATTGGTCCCTAAGAGAGCCCCCAAGAAAAAGCAGATTCCATAGAAGGGGTAGGAAGTGTTAGGAAGGGAGGTCTCTGGACCAAAGGTTTGCCTGTGGGGCTGCCACATCCAGTTACACAGCGTGTCCACGGAGCTGCATTAGGACTGAACCACCCACACACAGGGGCAGGGGACCTAAGGTGGGACAGAGATGGCTGCTTTCTTCAAGGCATCAGAGTAGTTCGTCCACAACGGCCTAGAATGTTGGAGATGGCTGTGTGGTGGTGTTGGAGCTGACGCAGAGTAACTGGGGTGAGCATGCAGCCAAGTGAAATCCCAAACTGGAAGGGGTTGCCTCACTGTAAAGGGAGGACACCAAGGCCTTCCGGGCAGAGCGTGCCCAGGACACTGGGCAAGTCAGTTCCAGAGCTGGTGTGGGGTGGGGGTTGGGGGGGCAGAGACCCAGGTTTTCTGTCTCTTGAAATACTGTCTTCTCTGCTACTTCTCCCATGAGATCATTGCAACAGACAAACAAACAAACAAACAAACACCCAGGTGGGGACACGGCGACTAAGTACTGTTTTCCACAGCCGGTCTGGGTTTGTGGAGAAAGACTTTCCCAGGGTCAGGATGGAAAGCTGAGGCACTCACGCAGCCCTGTGGACTCCATCCTGGAGGCAGTGTTGACAGTGTCCCCGAAGAGACAGTACCGAGGCATGGTGAGGCCCACGACCCCCGCCACGCAGGGCCCTGAAATCAAAGGTGCCTGGGGAGCTCCGGGAGGCCTGACGGAAGCCAGGGTCCTCCTCCCCGTGCCGCCGCACTGCCCTCTGTGTGTCTGGAGCTGAGCACTGTGCTGTCTGGAGTCAATGGCAGCACTGAGGGAGACAGCCGTGCGCCAGGCCCTGGGCTGGGTCCCCGGCCATGTGTGAGACAGGGAAACAGTAGCCAGTACAGGGATGAGGGAAACGATCTGGAGACACGACAGATGACCTATGTCTTGAAGGGAAGCTGAGTGGGCAGGTTCAAAGGCCTGGGAAACTACAGCTGAGGGTGGGTGAGGGGAGCCTCGGGGGGAGGCTGCAGGGGCTGGTGAGGTCTTTGGGACTACAGAGGGCCTCCGTGCTGCACTTGATCCTCCAGACGGGAGCCACAGGGCTGGGGAGGGCTATAGAGACCTGCCCTGAAGTCTCTTCCACACCCAAGAGATCTCTGCCTCTTCCATCAGACTACCGACTTCTCCACGTGGAATCAGCTGCCCTTGCTCAGACGAGAAAGGTAGAAAACTTCAAACCACAGAAAGTTTGTCAACCTGAGTGCTCAGACCCTTTGGTAACCAAGGGTAACCAGAAACAAAGCTTTTCTGACAGAGTAGGGATGCCCTGGCTGACCCACCACCAGTGCCCCTGGGAATTCTGGGAGGCTGATCTGGCCTTGCCGAAGCCCCCAGCCCTCTGCCTACCTGAGTGCAGACCGGCCCTGACACGGATGGGCACCTCGGGCGCATGCCTCATGCGGAAGTCACCTGCACGGCTAAGTATGTCCAGGGCCATGTTGGCGATCTCAGCCGCATGCCGACTCCCATTGCGCCGAGGGAGCCCAGAGGCCACCATGTAGGCATCCCCGATGGTCTCTATCTGCAAACAGGAACCTCGTGATGGGACAGCCTCTCCCACGCCCCAACCTACACACCACCAATCAGGAGCCCCCACCCCACCACGCCTGGATCTCACACAGTCTTCAGCCTCTGCCAGGCTTCCAGTCCCAGGCACTCAGCACTGGTCAGAGCTGGGAGCTTCAAGTGGCCTCTGTCTGATAGGCAGGCGACAGCTCCGGGTCTGTCTCTGGTAGCAGACCCAGGGAGCAGTGTGCACGAGGCCACGGGGCCAGCCAGGACCTCACCTGAAGATCCCTACCAGGGACAGTCTGGTGTCCTGACTTTACTGGCTTCCAAGGGTACTGGAAAGAACGTGGGTTCTAGGGCAGCCTGTAGAAGACGGTCATTCTTGCACTCATGAGGCTGAGGCAGGAGGGTTGCTGCAGGTTTGAGGCCAGGAATCCTTGGGCCTTGTCTCAAAGATAAGACCTTGTCTCAAAAGGAGATTGGCTAGGGGAGGGGTGGTGGTGGTGAAATGGGTTCATGTATGCCGCTGAGGGCGATGACTGAAGCCTGGTCCCCAGAAGCCTCATGGTGGAAGGAGAGAATGGACTCCATAAGTTGTCCTCTGTTCTACACACACACACACACACACACACACACACACACACACACACACACA